GGGTCGGTCGAATAATCGATTATTATTCGCCAGGGCTACCGAATAGTCGATTTTGATCATGGTCAGTTTCTGGCAACCCTAGTCCACAGTATAGTTTACTGTGTACATGTCATAGTCCCACCCACTCAGCATCCAGACATTTCTGTCTGGTCCTTTCACATGGATGTAGTTGCAAAGACATATGTTGCCTCCGGGTGCTCTGTTTCTCTCTGTCTCCTTTGCTCTCCTTTTAACCGAGTGCCTATTTTAAGAGGTGAAAGCTAGTGTAGAAGCCACAAGGGGCCGACAAATTATGCCAACCAGAACTGTGGCTCTTTGAATGAGAGCAAAGAAAAAACTATTCACCGCAGGAGGTAGATACCATGTGGTTAAAAAAAATTGCTATCTAAACCATAACGAAAAAGTAGTACATCTCCTTTAAAGGTTTATGAGACTTTAAATAAAGACACATTTCAAGCATGCAAAGAATAGTGTGTTAAGACCTAGGAAGCGTAATGTCCTCCCGATTACTATGCACCTTGTGCCCTCTGGGGTCAAAAATGACCCCATCTGGCTTGTCTGATATTTAACGCATAAAGTATAAAATGTGAATCAATTTTGTGTTGCACCTTTAGTTCTACTTCAGTACAACCCATTACCACACATTTTCCCCTCAGTTTTAGAATTTAGGGCCAAAAGATTTTTTTTATATGAAATGTTACCGTTTTCTGAGTTAAAAAATAAATGAAACTATTTAATAATTTGAACATATCGTATTGTGACTATTTGTCTTATCAGAGACTGGTATATGTCAAAGTTTAGTAAGGATGCCCTTTTTGAATAATTTATATTTTTTTAATGACAACACATAATCACACCTTGTGCCCTCTGGGGTCATTTTTGACCCCGTCTTGCTTGACTGTTATTTCAAGAATTTAAAGTGGAAACCTCACACATTTCTGTATTACACATTTAATGTGCCCTTAGTTGCATGCAGGGCAGGTAACAATGGTGTGATCTTTGCAGATGTATGCATTGCATCTTTGGCACATTTTCTTGGTTTTGACATCTATCTGGCGAGGGCAGAATTTGCACCTGCTCCTTTTGGGTGATGGGTCAGGAGGGGGAGCTTGGCGAATGGGAGCTGGGTGAGTGGGAGCTGGGTGACAGGTAGCTGCTGCAGAGGTAGAGCTGGAGCAGAACTGCTGGACCTCCATAACCAAACTGGCAGCGGCTGGCGTGCGGGGAAGAACCTGTCAAGTCAAGTCAAACTTTATTATAATAAATCACAGTGCAAATACAAAAAGTTCAAATTGTGAGGACACTACAGAAGGAAGAGCAACAGAAATGAAGCTTAATGCTGACCTTGCGTCGCTGGATGTGAGGTATCACAAGTTGTCGTCCAAGCTCCTCCATGAACAGCCTCCTCTTGTTGCACTTCCCCTGATTCCAGGCTGGGTTGATCTCAGACCACAGGGCAAAGGAATTGTATGCAGGCACGTCAAGAATGTTGAAGGAGACAACTAGGGGCCAACGGGCTGTCATTCTTTTGCACGTGTACACACTGGTAACCTTGAAACAAAATAAACAAACCAAAACATATTCAGAAATGTATGTTTATTTCCTACACACAAATTCAATGCATTATCCTTTCCATAATAATAAATGTGAAATACCTTGTCAAGGTTATCGACACCCCCTTTGTTGTGATTGTAATCTTCGATGATTTGGGGCTTTTTGTCATCCCTGTCGCTCACAGCTGCATCCCGATGCAGAGTGCTCATCAGAAGAACATTTCTCTGTTTCTTGGGGAGATAGGACACCAGAGCATGGGTCTCGGTGAAAGCAAACTTTGATGAGAAACGAGCCCTGTCCACTTTTGACACCAGTGCAGGGGGAAGCTCAGGTTTATTTCTCCTTACTGTTCCCACCATGAACAGCTTTCTTTTCAGCAGCGCCAGGCCAAGGGCATGTGAAGTAAATAAGTTGTCACAGGTTATCGTTTTTCCCTGGAGGCCTTCTGTCATGTCAAGGACAACTCGCATGCCCTGATTTGTTTTCTGACGTCCCACCAGCAGGTTTGCCAGTGTATATCTGCATATTCCATGCGTAGCTTGACCTGGTATCGCATGCTGCCCATATTTTGATCCCATATTTCCCTGGTTTGCTTGGGATATACTGTTTGAATGGACAGCGACCTCTGAATGGGACCAGGCGCTCATCGACAGTCACATTAGTGCCTGGATTGTACATCATTGGCAGGAGAGACACCCATGTGTCCCAAACGTCTCGAATTGGAGCAAGTTTGTCTCGTGCCCGGCGATCTTTTCTTGTGTCTTTGTCATCAAATCTTATGACTGGAGATTTTATGAAACATTTTAAGTGTCATGGTAGCACGGAAAATTGCCCTGCCAGACTCTGCATTCCATAGACTTGCTGTAGCCTCTTTGCTAGATCGGTACACTCCAGCTAGAACCAACAAACCCACGTATGCCTGCAGGTCCATTTGATCCATCTTTCTCCATTGTTTCCCATAAACACGCTGCCCCTCCTTGTTAGTCATGTTCAGCACTGACTCTTCGATGGCCTTGGGCAGAAACAGATAAAAAGCGGACTTTATGCCCTCGATACGAGACCTTGCATACAGGGTTGGACCCTGGCGGCTTGTCTCTCTCTCTGCTTTCTCTGCTGTTACCGTGCGACGTCCGTCACAGGGAGGGATGGAAGACCAGATCATTTTTTCATCCTTAGATTGGAAATATTCTTCCATCTCAGCTGGGTCCTCTTCCTCAGATTCTTCCTCATCAGTGGATTCTTCCACTTCCTCAAAATAAGTGCGGTCCTCCACTTCTGACACTTCTTCCATTTCTGATTCTACCTCTTCATATTCATTTTCCTCCATTTCAAAACCTTCTTCCATTTCAGAAGCGGGCGATGTGGGGGCTTCTTCAGAGGAAGAATTTGGTCTGTAACTTACATCGATCACCTCTTCATGAGTTTCCTCCTCTTCTGACCCTGAATCCTCCTCATCGGTTGATTTTTCCTCCATAACACGGTTAAAGATGAGCTCATGAACCTCCTCCACAGTCAACATTTTCTGCCTCCTCACTTTGCTGCCTGTCTCTCTCAGAATAAAATGTGAAATGCCCCAACATTTGTGAGAAAAGGCCTGTTTGTTTTTGACTTGACAATTGATTGATCCAATACATCAAAGTTGTGTATGTGAGTGTGCCGTAACTAGGGAGGGACTAAAAGGTGAAATGTCCCAGCAACCGTGAGAAAAGGCCTGTTTGTTTTTCGTTTATCTTTTTTGTTTATGATTTTTGTTGATCTAACAATTGATTGATCCTATCGTGTGTGTGTGTGTGTGTGTGTGTGTGTGTGTGTGTGTGTGTGTGTGTGTGTGTGTGTGTGTGTGTGTGTGTGTGTGGTGTGTGTGTGTGTGTGTGTGTGTGTGTGTGTGTGTGGTGTGTGTGTGTGTGTGTGTGTGTGTGTGTGTGTGTGTGTGTGTGTGTGTGTGTGTGTGTGTGTGTGTGTGTGTGTGTGTGTGTGTGTGTGTGTGTGTGTGTGTGTGTGTGTGTGTGTGTGTGTGTGTGTGTGTGTGTGTGTGTGTGTGTGTGTGTGTGTGTGTGTGTGTGTGTGTGTGTGTGTGTGTGTGTGTGTGTGTGTGTGTGTGTGTGTGTGTGTGTGTGTGTGTGTGTGTGTGTGTGTGTGTGTGTGTGTGTGTGTGTGTGTGTGGCATTGTGCTGAAAAAAAATGTGCCCCATTGCTCCACTTTGTCCTGCGGGGTCATTTTTTACCCCAGAGGGCTTAAGGTGTCATAATTCAATGAAATTACTTCAAATGTATTGTAATTGTTAAGAGCATAGTATTGAACAACCCCTATAATTTTCAGACCATTTGATGAATTAAAAACCTATTTTTGACGGCAATAGATTTCCTTTTGGGGTCAAAAATGTCCCCAGGACAACAGGAGGGTTAATTTATTCTACATTTGGAATAGTGACATAAAAAAAGGTTAGGGTGCCCATCACCCCGCAGGCCTTTCATTTTCTGGCTTGCAGACTTTCGGTTGCTACAGCCAAGTCTAAGGGAAAGACGCCCGTTTGAACTCTGACCCTTCTTTACCACCTACTAGGAGCCGCATGTCTAATGCATTGGTATCAGGTTCACACACTTCAGTTGAACTGTGCGGTATAAATAGCGAGGACGTTTTAGGTCTCCATGGTGAACGAAGAGACAGGAGGTCGGGCAGAGGAAGTGTGTGTCTCTGTAACACTAAACAGCAATCATGAGGAAGTTGTTTCTTAAAGCTGCCTCATATTTCACACCTTCACAAAAATAACGATTATATCAGCAGTAACATAAAATAGTAATGGGCTGCAGATGCTGAACACTTCATTGCAAGGGGGCTTTTATTTTGAAGTAACTATTGTAATTGCTATAAAAAATAATCACTTGTGCAGTTTGACTGTTTGGTGTGTGCTGTCAATTATTTTTCCCTCTAGATATGAGTGCATCAGTTTTGCAGAAGTTTTTTTTTGATTAAACTGTCTTTCTCGATTCATTAGAGCTCTGATGTCTTGTTTCTCAACAAACCATCGTGCAACAGCACTACTTTTAAGTCTAGATAAGATTTACATTTGTGAAAATTGATGGAGGCCAAAAAAATGGCATTAGCACAGGAATATATCCCCTAGTTTTTTTTGTTTAAAAAACTGCATATATATGCTTAATTTAATTGATAAAGGCAACAATACTCATCTATTCACGCTGTGTAAAAGATGGGATGGCATGCCCGTATAAAAAAATAAATCAACAATGTCTAAATGGCTAAATTTGAATGTGTAGTAATAACCTTCAGCTAAATAAAACGTCTTTGAAATGCTCCTTTGACAAAAAAAACCTTGATAAAAATGATTTAGGTTTTAATCTGACATCTTCTTTGCCACTCTAAATTGAACATGTTCAATGAGATACATTTTCATAAAGGCAACGTTTCTCTCCTCCACCCCACTCAGAGCTCCAGCCCTCAGAGCATCTGATGGTGGAAGGCTCCATCTGGCTGCCGCTCAACGTGGCCTCCAACGGCAACGCCTCCAGCAGCTCGCAGGCTGTCGGCGTGACCAAGATCGCCAAGTCGGTCATCGCCCCTCTGGCAGAGCAGCACGTCTCTGTCTTCATGCTCTCCACTTATCAGACCGACTTCATCCTGGTGAGCCCTGTCTACTTGCATACTTTTATTTCTACTTCACATGATGGCTTACACTACAGCCCTGAACAGCTCTAGGTGAAATCTGACATTACTTAATTTGGCGTTACCATGGCGACGCGTATCCTTCGCCATAAACAACGTTGTCGCTGTAACTCCAATGGACACGGTCCCATCGTCCCCCAATCTTCACTTTTATATCACCGGTACATGCCTCATTTATTTACTTTTATTTATTTCTATTGCACTCCAGCCTAAGTACCTTGTTAAAATAAAAGAGGCACGGTAGGACGTTGTATAATTTATAGACGTCTGGAGCAGTTTTTCAAAATCTAAACATATACAAAAAACTCCAGACTTCTAATCTCGCAGTGAAGCCTTTCACCTACTGAGCTCTGCCAGACAAAAGAAGCCTTTTTGTCCACTCGGCAATAATTAGGGACGCACGATATTGGGTTTTTGAAACCGATACCGATAACTTCCTGCTTCTCAAGACCGATACCGATAAGCGATAATAATATAATATATAATATATATTAAATGTACCTGTAGTTTTTGCACACCTGGTGGTAAAGAAAAAGACTAGTAGTGAGCAAATGACATGAGCATTACTACTATGAACAAAACAAAGCCAAGAACAGTTTTGACTCTTCAAAGTGACCATATTTATTTTCCCAAATAAAGTTCTTGCCTTTTTCAAAAGCCTCGTCGATAGGTAAAAGCCCCGGTGCCTTTGCAGCTGGCTTTGGATTCGCCGCTAGTTTAGCAGCGCAGGCGTCTTCGTACGCTTTTAACACACCATCGTAGCGATGGCGATGTTTCAGGTGACTAATCAGGTTGGAAGTATTATAGCTCGTTGCCTTTTTCCCTCCTCGTGGAACTTCTGCATTGCATTTGTTAATACAAATAGCAAGCGAACTATCTAACTCTGAAATAGTTAGGGAGCGCTGGATTTGTGAAAAACTCCCCTCTTCCTAAACCACTAATACCACAGTACTGGCAAAACGGGAGGAGCCGAGTGAAAAACAAGCGCCCCTCATCCCAATCCACCCACACCGCAGTATTTTTTCTTTTTTTTTACCCAAAAAATATATTGTATATTATCGGGGCTATTAATACTTTTATCGGGATGACGTCATAATTCCTAATATCGGACCGATAATCGATAATTATTGTGCACCACTAGCAATAATGTGAAAGAATGAATTCCCAACTGAGCTGATGGCACTAAACAGTTAGTTGTTGTATTACTTGTGAAAGTGTTAAGTGGGCAAAAATAGATAACAACTTGACAGACGTTTGTGTCAGCAAGTTTAATAATAATGTCTGAAAGTGAACCAGTGTTGGCTGAAACTACATGATGTACACTGACTACACAATACACCCACCGTAGATTAAACAATATTCATGATCCTCATCTTTGTTGTGTAGGTGAAAGAGAAAGACCTGTCTGTAGTCATCAGCACTCTGGAGGAGGAGTTCAATATCTACAAGGAGGTGGGAGGAGAGTCGGTCCCCATACACTGTCAGGATGTCCCCAACGGCCTCCAGAAGAACGGCAAAGAAGGTAGAGGTCACTTTGTTCGATATGAGCTCACTTACCTCTCAGGTATTGATCAAGCTCGTCTCAGGGGAGAAAGTTAAAGGGGCCCTATTGTGCTCCTTTCAGGTTTTATAATTGTATTGTGATCCTCTACTGGGACATGTGTCCATGCTTTAATGTTTAAAAAGCTCTTTATTGTTCTCATAGTGCCTGTGCTGCAGCACCTCTTTTCACCCTCTGTCTGAAACCAGAGCCCAGTCTGCTCTGATTGGTTAGCTGGCCGGCTCTGTTGTGATTGGTCAACGGCTTAGAGAAGTCCTGCCCCTTGGCGTATCACTTACAATGGAGCGTTAGCCAATAGTAGCGTGAATGTTACATAGTGATGTCATTATGTAACAGAGGTTAAAAAAAAGGAGTCCAATGGAGATGTGTCAGGCCGGGGGGGGGGGGAAGTGTGTGGGAGAGAAACTCCTTCTGGAGGGAACTTCTGGATGTTAGCCTTTGCAGACCTTTTATATTCACAAAAACGTATAGAACACACTACAGGAAAGGGAAACTACAAAAGATCCTCTAGCACCACCTTCAGGTTTCTGAGAAAAGGAAGTGACCTTAAAACACGGTATCGTCACAGGTCGAAAATAAGATGCAAGTGAAACATGAATCATTTCTGTTTCTTAAAAACATTGTTTCTCAACAGTTAATATTTGAATGTAAGGTGGTCACATTACCAGATTAGCAAGGCCTTAACATAAATAGGCTGTATGAACATTTATTATATACTGTATTCAATTCACAACTGCTTTAAGATATTACATAATCATACCTATTTTTACATTTAGATTAGAAAGCAGTTTAACAAATCACTTTAGAAATGAATACTTTGTGAATGTATTAATGTGCTCTACCTGCGAGCCTCTTTTTCATTCAGTGTTCCTCTAAAAAGCAAAGACAGCTTCTCTTTTTCTTTTTTTAATAGCGCCATGAGAGAAAATAGAGTTCAGTTTACATGTAAAATAGAATATGTGTTTCTAGCTAAAGGAACCTGCTGTTGAAGGACTCCTGATGATCTTAATAAAGCTATGTTTGGCTTAAACAAATATTATATGACAAAATGTGAACAGGCTGGGTTCGCACCGGGTTACAAACATGCTGTGTCCTCCACAGGAAGTTATTTGTACAAAGTGCAGAACATGCTGTACGAAGAGAGAGAACAATAATGGAATATATCGACACCCTAACCAATCTTTCATATCTTTGCATCTTCAAGATCACGGCTTTATGAAAACATCAAAGAACAAAAAGGATTTTACTTGACACATGTCTGACTACTATGGAAATGTTCACAAGATTGCACTCACTGACAAACCTTTGGCACAATAGTGATCAAATCTACCTGTGCAACACTTTAAAACATACTTAGTCAAACTTGTGTGCATTAATAGAGGGATGTGATTTTTGTTCAGATTTTTGATTAAAGCACATGTGTCAAACTCAAGGCCCGGGGGCCAAATCCGGCCCGTGGTAGATTTCATTTCGGCCCTCAGGATAATTTCTAATTACTATTAGATCTGGCCCGCCGGTATATTGCACGCACACCTTCACTCCATCCTGAGGGTCTCCTCAGCTCAGAGCCTGACCCCAAACAACCGAGATGAGATGCCAGAAGTATCTGGCTTGAACTAGCATCACAGAGCAGCACACTGAGTTTACATGGATGTTTCCTTCTGCACTTTCTTTCTTGAGACAACAGGGCATGTTTGGTTTTTTCTTTGAGAGGAATAGTTTTGTTGAAGCTGTTGTTGGCCTGTGGAAAAATGTAATCCTAAGAAATGACTGAGGAAAAGCTGCAGATAGAGCCATAAGAAATGAATGCAACTGATTATTTAATGTTGTTTTTATAGGCAATAATTGAAGCTTTGTTAGTTCCAGGTTTAATATGTGCAATAAGTTCATTTCAATACGTTTTGCAATAAACATTGAACCAGTCCGGCCCTCGACTAGTACCCATTTTTTTATTTTGGCCCACTGTGTATTTGAGTTTGACACCCCTGGATTAAGGCCTACGAATAAAATAATGAAACATGGAGCGAGAAAACCTCACAACATGTCTTTTTTCAGTAATGAAGTAGAAGTTAACAAAATATGTACTACCAAAAACAATCAAAGTTGTTCAAAGTTTTCTCAATTTGTATACTTGGGCCCCAAAGTGCCAGACATGACCATTTAAATGCTACGTAATACATTTCTTAACATTTACTTTTGGTTAATTCAATTGAAAAATATCTTAAACAAAAAGCGAGTCAACACACTGGCTACCAGTTAAGTCCAGGATTGATTTTAAAATACTTTTACTCGCATACAAAGCGCTAAATGGTCAGGGACCATCCTCCCTACAGGATCTTTTAATCTCCTATTGCCCCTCCAGGGCATTACGATCCCAGTTCTGTTGGTGGTTCCCAGAGTCCACAAAAAAAGGTCAGGTGCTCGAGCTTTCGGCTACCAAGCCCCGTTGCACTGGAATCAACTTCCAGTGACGATTAGGGAGGCAGACAGTGTCCACACATTTAAGAGTAGGTTAAAGACTTTCCTTTTTAGTACAGCGTACAGTTAAGACTTTTTAAACATCCTCATGGACCCTTCGTTTTATGGAATTGTATTTATTGTACTCCTAACTGTATTTGTGTCATTGTGTTATGTTCCTTTTTAAATTGGTATTTTCACATTGATCTTGTAAGATACGTTTGTTGTTTTTACATTGTTTTACATTGCCAATTGTGTTTGTTGACTTGTGAAGCCCTCTGAGACAAATAGGATTTGTGAATTGGGCTATATAAATACACTTGAATTGAATATATCTGTGGTGGCTTTCACCTGAAAACACTTTGAGCTTTTCCCACAAACCAATGCTTCCTTTTCACTCCGCAGCCATCCAGCCCACGGTCCACCCGGTGGTGATCCCTAAGAACCAGTTCTGTGTCATGTCTCTGGACCCAGACACTCTGCCGTCCATCGCCACCACGCTCATCGACGTGCTCTTTTATTCCAACAGGTGAGTGGTTCACAGCACCACATTACCTCTGTAAAACACAAGGTGGCAGCACGTGATCCTAACAAGGCATTAGCTCACTAACTGTTTCACAAACAGACACAGGTAATCGCTTCACATCTGTTTACTAACATGAGACAAAAATTAGATAATTTGTCACAATCAATTATTTATAAACATTACACATGTGCATTATTGTCCAGGCTAATTTCCATACATATCTTTTTCATTTTTTTTTTTGCTTTCTTGTTCCATTTTTAGAATCAAAATTATTTAAAATTAGGTTAGGGTTTTCTTTTTATTGCAAGAAGTTTCATTTACAAGCCCTTAGGGCAGGGGTATCCAAACTACATTTTTAATTGGCAAATTCTAAAAGTATAATGGAATATGTCCCACACATGAAACTTGTATTTGTCTTATATTGTACAGGCTTTCCCACACATAACGTCCACCAAAGTATATTTCGCGACCCATCTAGGTTTAATATTTGTTTATTCGTCCGCGAACACGATGCCACCTGCGATCGATTAACTACCCCTCCTGTACCTGTTCGCTCTGCTATCGCATGAAAGGTCTGCTTTATGCGCTCCGTAGTAACTCCGCTGCGAGGCTCCGGCAAACGGTTCATGAGCGTGCTCCACTTTTTAAGGAATGAGCTGCCAACACTTTTTGTAACAAAATAAAAGAAACCCTATGGAGAGCTGTGATGTAGGCTCTTTATATTCAAATATCAAGCGTCATTGAATGTATTTGATTGGTTTTGCTAACTTATAACTTAACTTATGAGGGAGTATAACTCACCTCTAGTGAGTGGCCCAGCCCCAGTATGTTTTTCTGTATGTGGCCCTCAGTGAAAAAAGTTTGGACACCCCTGCCTTAGAGGAAGAACCACTAATAGGAACGCTTGCATTACTAGAGTTGCAACATTTGAAATGAAATACACTCCTGCCTACACAGCCACATGTCTTTCACACACTCTGATTATAATATAGATCCAAATTATTTACAATATTGAATCACATTTTGGAACTATTTCATTGTTTTGGTTCTATTCCTTTTGAATAATGCTTTTCTCTTCTCCTCGTCCATTTGCTCGGTAATGTCTCACCAATGGCCTCTTCTCCTCTGCAGTCCTAAGGAGGATGCTGCCAACCAGGGTTTGGACTGCATCAAGTTCTTCTCCTTCTCCCTCATCGATGGCTACATCTCACTGGTGATGGACACCGAGGCTCAGAGACAGTAAGGAAAAGCATACTCTTGACACCTTAAAAAAGCACATTCCTTGATTACATACTACAGCTAGCAAGTCAATTGTTTCCCTTTTTTGTTGTGTCTCTGCTTTGCGGATGTCAGTATTTGCTAGCTTATATCTGGGGCTTGCGTTAAAGGATATTGCCTACTCCATTTCTGAAATGTCTCTGTGTGTGGGATGGTTGACCTCAGCTTGATCTCTGTGCTGCAGGTTTCCTGCTGACCTCCTCTTCACCAGCTCCTCTGGGGAGCTGTGGCGAATGGTTCGTATCGGGGGACAGCCGCTGGGCTTTGGTAAGGCTGCTTTCTTTAAAACACTTAATCACATAGTAATTTAATCTATGTACAGGTTTGTCGTGGCTTCCTTCCTTGCTTATCTATCAAGCCACTAGACGCCTTAAACAGACATTTTTAATTTGTTTTCTTCCTTTATATTACTTACAGTTGAAGATTTGCTTGTCCTCCGGTGGTTTAGAAGATGTTATGCGATGTGTTTGCTCAAAATAAAATAACAAACTTTTACACATGCAACAAAGAAAAGAGGCCTTTACAATATTCAAAACAAATAGGTAAAACTCAAATAAAATAACAAACAACTTAGGTATTCTTTCTTTCTTGATAAGGCTTATATAACTTAATAACTTAAAGGGTAAGTTAAAAACTGTTCCTCAACGGCGTCTTTCTAGCAGGTTGCCCGTCACTGTCACTTTAGCGCAGGCCCCGTGTGAGTTGTAGTCTTTTAGTGTGTTGACTAGAGACGTCACAATTAGGTGGCCTTTCTTATAAAAAACAAAATACTGGCTCTAACCAGGTTAGTGCGCATCACTTATATGGTACAGTCCAACCTGTTTCTGGATCTGCTTCCCCTGCTGACATTGATCAGAATCAGAAACAGGTTTATTACCAGCTAGGTTGACACGTAGGAGGAATTTCACTTGGTGTTTTGGTGCATACGTAAAACTAAAATGTAAAACACAGATAGAAAACTATAATAACATTGAAAAAATATAGTAAAATATAGCAGTATTTACATTGAAATGGAATTGAATCGAGTGGTATCTGACATCACATCAGAAATCTTTGCAGTTATGCAAACGCATGTCCAGACAAATCCTGCGTACCTTTCAGACCTAGCAAGCCAATACATTAAGTGAAACTTCACTTTATTTTTTATTAAAATGGAAACACAAGCTGTTTGATTTACTGGAACATGTGACAGGATTGTTCTAATATTGTCTAAAGAGTTGTTGCTGTCAAGTTGTAATGGCAGTTGTATCATTTCTTTATTTTGTAAGGCTTAATGTTGACGGAGATATAATTTAAACTAAATGTCTTTTTTATCACTTGCTGTGTTCAATTTATTTATTTTGTTATAACTTATTTATTATTCAGCCAGTTGAGGTGTAATGGGACCACTAGTAGTGTCATTTCCTTGTTTTTCTATTACATGTCTTATACGTACACTCCAATATTTTACCTCACATGCATCTTGTTTGTACATTACATTACATTACATTGCATTTAGCTGACGCTTTTATCCAAAGCGACTTACAATAAGTACATTCGACCAGGAAGACACAACCTTGAAGAAAATAGAATCATATAAGTACATCAGGTTTCATAGAGCCAAACATTTCAAGTGCTACTCAACTGGCTTTAGGTAAGCCAGTCCTTGTATTATTACCTAACATACTTAAAACAAAATGTTACCAATTGAAAATAAGATATGTTACATTATCACGTGATGACATTTCCAGGCATTTAAAAATCCTTAATTTGGCTTAATAACAGCTGTTTATTATGTGATACTTATATGAATGCATTTATCCTCCACTCTCTCTCTGTTTTTCAGATGAATGTGGAATAGTGGCCCAGATATCTCAGCCTCTGGCAGACAGCGACATCTCGGCCTATTACATCAGTACCTTCAGCTTCGACCACGCTCTGGTGAGTCCAGCATCTCACCGTCATCAGATAGGCCGCTGTCAAAATCACGCCACATTATTGCGATTACTCTTAGCTCAGATATTTAAAGATTCCAGGTTTGGTCTTTCTTCTGTAATGAGGGAGACTAAGAATGATGAGATACACAAATATGTGTTCCTGTGAAGTTAAATCATGAGCGAGCCAGGTGATTCCAGATCAGCTTACAAGCTGGTTTATACATGTGAGAATAAAGGTATATGGCTTCATAGGTTCATCAAATGGACCAATTTATTTAGCTAGTATATGGTTATTAAAATCCTATGATCCATATTATCAATTTGATCAATAGCAATCGACCATCACATTTACAAACGCTAAGATCATTCAAGAAAAAAAAGAATCCTTGAAATGTAGTGTCCAAAGTAAATGTGTAAACACTCTGAAAATGTATTTACAAGTTATTGTTTCCTTTTCTAACTTATTAACTGTCACATGATAGACATTTATTTTTATTTTTAGACTGTAATCAAGGTTTCTTCAATTAAATGTTTTCTTGGTTGTTAGCATGTATTAGGTTGTTAAGGACTTTTAACGCACAACTATTTTAAATACTGTTTTCAGCCTAAACCAGTACTACTTTTGTGTTTGTAAATTTACAAATGTACCACATATACGACAGACTTAGTACCAACTTCATCACTAACTCCGACCACCTGTTATCATAACAATGACGAAGAAACCTTTATATATGACCAGAATTGAACTCTAAAAGGATGCAAAACATGGTGTTAAATCTTTGGGTATACCAAATAGTATTCAAGGGTTCACTTTGTACTCCTACTTTCAGAATGCTTTGAGTGCTCACTTTCAGAGCTGTATTATGCAGTCTATCATGACATTGTACTTAACCATGGGTGTCATACAGGAAATCCTATTTTCACTGGAACTTTGTAAACCTGAGTGGGATCAGTGTGAACCGCAGACCGGCCTGATGATAGCAAATTCCACTGATTAAATTGTTCTAGCTGTGACCTCACAACTGTTTCCGTTTGAAATCTTCTTGTTTAGTACAGTATAGTATTTTTGGGAAATTATCTCTACGACCTAGATTGAAAACATAATAGGTATAATCTTCAGTTCAAAAAAGTCATCCGGATCGAAGTGTTATTTAAGTGATGTGTTATTTAACTGATGTGCTATAATTACGCTTGCAATTGAAAAGCAAAAACACTAAAACATTGCAAGTTGAAATAAAACGTTCACATGTGTTGCATTTTCAAAGCAACTACTCTTTAGTCTGTGATGATGGATAATAATATCTACCTGTTCTCTTTCACACCTCGCTCAGTATCTCAGGATGTGACTAATCATGAAAGCTCCAGAAACATCATTATGTTATTGGCAGTTTAGACAGGGACTCGTGTAACAAGTTGATTGGTCGGTCTCCTCACAGAGGCCAGAGAACGGGGAAAACCCTGTTTTGCAAAAGAGGAAGAATACAATTAAAGGAACTCGTATAGAAAGCTCTTGGTCACAAAGCTGACTATATTTCCTTCCCTGGAAGGTGTGTGCGGTATGATGCTACAGTAATGTTCAGTTAATTACTCACTGACAAATTCAATGTCATTTGATCTAAATAAAAATCTAGGGAGAATGTCAGTCAATGGCAAGGATTGCATGGTGTTGGCACCTGAAAGCAGTGACGTCAGACCCGTATAAGGCCATCAAATGCCTTTTATTGACAGGAAAACAGGCAATTGCAAGAAACTCTGAAGGAGATGACAAAACATGTATCTTCTTCTGGGGTTGGTAGTACGGCCATAGTGAACTGGCAAGATATAAAAGCACTAATACACTTTTCACATATTTGATTGTATTTTTTTGCAATTTATTTTACACAACAAAGTTAATAAATATATAGTGGCCAACAGAATGAATGTTCTAAATGGAGTTGCTGCTGATTATACGCATGCTTGTTTTGGTTTTATGACCACTGTGTTTTTCTGGTTCACTCTCAAAGCTCTGATACACTTTGTTCTAGATCCAACAAGCAGTAGTAAAAAAAAACCTGCTGTAAAGAATCTGTTATTTTTCTCACAAATATTCAAAAGTGAATGTCGGAATGGGTAAAAGTGTGTCTGCTGGATTTGTAAATAGGCAACGGTTTGTTCCCCATTACGAATGTTTAAAGTGAGAATATGTTGTGTGTACAGCGAAGGATACAAATCAACCAACATTGCTTTCATTTCCTCTGCCATTTCCTAGGTCCCAGAAGAGGACATAGTGAGCGTAACAGACATGCTCCAGCACCAGAGGAAAGACCCAGCAGCCAGTTGATCTCTGACGTCCCGTCTGAGCTGGATGACCCATCGCCTCTCACTCCAGCGGCCAATGGTGGCACGGCAGCAGGAGGAGAGGCTAACCCTGTGCCTAGACTAGCACTGCATCGCCAGCAGTATTAACGACTACGGACTTGCCATGAACACCAGAAGCGCTTCTCGATGGTGTGCACACAGTTTGTCTCCTCCTGTCTTACCTATCTAAGGCGGGATGCACTGAATCCCAGGGGGCCCACAAGCTGACACCTGCACATCAAAATGCACAATCACTCCAAAACACAAACACTCACACATTCAAATTCACAAGCACAAAGTCAGATGAGTGACCTTTTCTCTCGAATGCAGATATCTCTTGGTTTAGGTTGATTTTGTTATAATATTATTTAGCTGTAAAGCAGAACGCCTTCACATACATTTCACCAGTGCTATAAATGCACAACTTAGTCTTCCGGGCCATGTGTCTAAATAACATCTTAAACATTTAAAGCCATTCGCAAGAATTGCAATTATCCTTTTTGTGGAACTGAAAGTGTGAATTGTGAGAAAGTTAATCTTACAATACTTTTCAAGCAACAAAAGTGAGTCTTCAAACAGGACTCACTCGTTCTGGTCTGAGGCGAATGTGTAGGTAGTTCTTATTAAAACTACTACAAATGCTGTCAAGCAGGACAGAGGCTTGGTCAGTGTTTTTTTTTTAAGAGGTCAGTGGTTCTTTACTTTAGTATTACCCTAGGTCAATAACACTATGTCTTATTTCTTTTTGTTATTTGCACAATACACTTTTTATTTAGCTCACTCAGACATTTTCTTTGGTACAAGTTTTGTACAATTTGAAGTAAACGTATTCTGTAAACATTTGTAATTTTTGTGCTGCTTCATTCAATAAAGAGTATTGAAAACATGTACTCTTTGTTGACTTCTTGTCAAGAGTCAGTTCATCTCATTGCACAACATGTTCCAACTAATAATGACTACCTCACTGACAGAGTATCCTTTAACATCGGTCATCCATCATGACTCAACTTAACCAGGGAGGTTTGAGCGGCATTCAAATCAAAACCCTTAAAACTTTTTAAACTTGTGTCCACTTGAAGTACAGTAATATTTTGATTATTTTTCACTCTTATATTAATCTCACAATTTCTTATGTTCTTTGCCCCCTTTGCTCCATCACGACCTTAAGGGTTGGGAACAACAAACAAACAACTGTCATGAAATTTTTTTTTTTTAAAAGGTGGTTTCTATATATGTGAGAAATTCTAGTAGACAGTGAAATGGTCTTAAATGTGATGAAAATATATTAAATATACCATTTTAAGCGTTTTAACTATTTATGGTTGTTAACCCTTTTTCCAGATATTATCTGAAGAGCTCATGATACATGTAATCAACACCTCTGCTTAATCTCAAGGACTAAGAACAACCACACAGTCATCATTTCAAAAAATGTCATCATGGAAAAATGACATTCTTGCCGTGTGTGTGTGTGTGTGTGTGTGTGTGTGTTGATGACTGAGCTCTTATACTGTGTATATATAGGCCAGAAAAGTTGCTATTTTTACATGATTTGTTGTTTATCAAGTACTGCTGATTGAACCTCAACAACATCACTGACTGCTACAGTATGCATTTGAAATGCAATGGACTTCTCTGGCACTATGGTAAATATCTTAACAATAATATATACTACTACTAGTTTAAAAATCTAAGTTGTTATATCATGTATTTAATAATGCAGTTTATTATTTAGCTGCTAAGGTTACTTCTCCAAAAAGTAGAGCCTATCATAATGCTGACAAATCAGAAATAAAAGTTGTGTGAATGTGCAGGCCTAAATACCATCATATTTGCAGGTTAAATAGGCCTATACAATATCGAAGGAAATACTTCAAGTGATGTGAAAGGATTTCCATTTGTACTCAGAATACAGAAGAGGCAAGCAAGGCTAGTCACAAGGCTATGAGAGGCAATATTGGAAAATGTTGCTGATTTGTATTTACATGTGATAGAGTCCTTTCCTTTTTTCCCCCTTGTTTCACAACTCAAAAAAAAAAAAACACGAGCGTATATTTGATTATTGTTTCTCACTTAATTTCAATCCCATGTTATTTGTCTTTTTCCTTTCTTAACTCTTTTGGCCAAATACAAAGAGAAATGTGAAGCAGAAATCATTTAACCCTATCATTTGTTACATTTTCATTAACCTGTATTCACATATTCTTTGATTAGCACTTGTCTTGATGCTCCTGGGACTTCAGTGGAGGCCAGTGATTTCTGCTCCGACTGACAGCGGCTGTGAATTAAACCGCACTAAGGATCTTACAGGCCTATTGAAACATGAAACAGATATACTACTGGAACAATATGTAAGTCCTTCCCTTTGATTTTGCCATGTTTTCATATTTTCCAGGCATGGTTTGTGATATATCTGTGTTAACTTGCAGACAAGTTCATTAGATCTAATGGGGTTTTGTCATGCTATCGCTGATGTGTTTGACAGGAAACCATCATAGTGCCTATTCCGCTTACTCAGAGTACAGATGGTTATAATCTTTAAGGTTTCGGTCTTAACTGATTTGGTTTAACATGTATTTACTATTGCAACAGTGTTGTACTAACGCTTGTGCAGCTGCTTTGTCATAAATACAACTATATAACAGCTAGTTTGTGCAACTGCATAATAACTAAGCATGCCTGCTCCATCTTAATCCATTAGTCCAGTGGTGCTATATGTACAAATACTAATACCACACTGTAAAAATACTCAATTTCAAGTAAAAGTTCTGCATCGAGAATGGTACTTAAGTATTTAAGAACGATGAGGAAAATGCACTTTTAGGACTAATAGTACTCATTGCAGAAAAAACTTTAAAATATTTAAATATTTTAAAGCAAAAGCAGCAAATCTTCACATTTAACTGTGAATAATGTTTGAACAGAAAACGTCTTACAAAAATGTACGCCAATGTTGAACCACTCAGTTTATTAAATATAATGATGGATAGTTCAATCTATTCGAATAATCATATGTTAACAGTTTGTCCTAAATATTGTGTGTTAAAATCGAATCTATAATGTAAATAGTGAATAAATCAGTCAAATAGATGTATTGGAGTAACATTTTTCAAATTGGCTTCGAAAAATGTAGTAAAGTAGAAGTATGAAGTATTATAAAATGAAAATATTCGTCTAAAGTAAATGTACCTCAAATGTGTACTTAAGTATAATACTTGAGGGAATGTACTTGCTTTCCACCACTGCATTAGTCCCTGTAATATTTGTATACACAAATATAGTTTTAATCGACTTATTGTAATGAGACACAGCACAATAATTCCTGTAACTGCTTCACAGGGAAAGCCACCCAGTGTTTCGCATGTTGAATATACAGTATTTTAGAGTTTTTGGTTTGAATTAGCAGTGACTTTAAAGTGAAGTCTGCAATTAGGGAAAAAAGATTGGATTAGCGACGGGACACTTTTAATACGGCGCTGATATGGTGACAAGATTTTTTGTGTAAATTGGAATTATCCACATCTGTGCTCCCGGGAGTATCTGTGTGTTTTCTTCTTGTATGTTCCTGCCTGTGTACATGACATAAGCTGCTGCTCATAACCAATTGCCCCTTGCGGGATTAATAAAGTTGTTGATTGATTGATTGATTGATTGATTGATTGATTGAAGAGGTTGAAGTGTAAACAATTAGGCGGATATTAATGTGATAAAATGAAAAACAGAGATGCTTGATCCAACCACCTATACAGTATACTGTGGCGCCAATGAATCATGTACCATAAATAATATAAAAAACATGAAATGCCTAGAAAAAAACCTTACTTTCAGATACCATTAACAGCTAACCCTAGCATTGTAACGTTACTGTCTCATAGATGTTAGGGTCTTTGTATTTATATGGTTGTTATCAATGTAAACAAAAATGCAGTCACTAATTATGTCTGAAAGAATTGTAAAGAGATTGACATTTTGCAAAGAATTCAAATTGCTTAAACTTTTTTCATGTTCAATACCTTAATGCACTTGAAAAGTAACAATAATGACTTTCACCTATACAATGAATTTATTTTCATTACTTGTTTTTCTTTACAGTTAACATTTCATCATCTCGATAAGAATACACCTTCTGATGATTGTGATCCCGACTCCAATATATCTGGAACCAGCGTTTCCGAGCGGATGCAGGACATTTACTCAAAGAATCTGCTTTTTCATTGGCACATTACCGAGGTAAACGAATATCAGCATTTGGATCACCGGCGCAATGTCAAGGGAAAGCTCTCCCTGCTTTCAAATAGAATAAAGTATATTCTCAAAATCATGAACGCTTTGTCACCAACACCAGCCACTCCACAGTTGCCCAACACGCATAACTATCGAAAAAAAATATTTGGAAAGTGTGTCCTTGAAAACCTGAAGGCCTGGCTTACACAGGTGCCAAGGGTACTTGAAGAGGCAGTAGAGGAGTGTGACAAATAGACTGCATGAATTTACTCTTGAAATGAAAGGTCCACTATTATACTCTTTCAATATGTTATATGTCTCAGATATATAAAAACATGTCTCTGAAGTGTTTGGCTGGAAACACCAAACAGATCATGCATTGTAGCATCCCATAAACCCCTCTGTTTCAGCCCTGTTTCAAAAGTGCTGATTCTCTGCCTGTAGCTTTAAATGCAAATGAGCTGCCACTCCCCACGCCCCTCTGAGAGATGATTGGTTTAAAAAACACAATTGTGCTCTAGGAGGAGATTCAGGTGGTAAAGGGAGGGGAGGGGGGGGGGGGGGGGGGTGTTATCTTGGTTGTTTAGGCTAATGGTTACAATGGTTATCACAAATTGGCCAAATTCTGATCAGACATGTTTTTATATAGATGGATCAGGAAGAGAGAGAATGATTTTTCCTGAAACTTTTCGAATCCCTTAACAGAGAAGGGACACATGTATGTATAAAACACATGAACAAGTTTATTTTGCATAAAAGGTGACCTTTAAAAGAATCTGATAAAATGGTGATAACAAATCATCTTCTCTGGTATATTACGCCAAAAAACATGTTTAAATTGTCCTGAATATCTGCCTTGAAACCCCATTGAATGTGTGTTATGGTATTGTGTGGAGACTATGCTACCCCTTGCTTTAAATAATGTTTTTTGTCTGCTATTTATAGATTCTAATTTTTTTTATTATGAATCGATGTAAAGTCGAGGTTATGGGCAGTTTGTTGTAGCTTAAAGGGGACATAACTAACTTGTTCAGGACAAAAACATTAGAGCACCTTGAGTTCTTACCAACACAGAAACTGAGAAATTAGACGAAGCTGTTTTGTATGTTTATTTGAAACGGGGATTATTCATATATTTATGAAATATCTATTTATTTTCTTACATGGGTCCATTGAAATGTGAACTTGTCTTTTATTAATTGGTAATTTATTATTTAACATAACAAAACTGTTGGTTTCTTTGTGTTATTTATTTCAACAATATGCTTACCTGCAGCAAATGGTACATTATAGATAGGTGGTAAAGTATCCGGCCGCTTGCAGTGAGGCTACGAGCTTTATTTATCATTGTTATTTATTTTTCCTTAAACTAAAGTCATTTTTTGAATCAAACCTATATTATTTATCAGTATCACATGTTTATTTCCGTTGTTGTTGTTATTGTTAATAAAGGCCACTTTGTTGCACCTATGGTCATGAAGGATGGGTCATGACCGAAAGAACGAGATCGCGGATACAAGCGGCCGAGATAAGTTTTCTCCGCAGGGTGGCTGGTGTCTCCCTTAGGGATAAGGTGAGAAGTTCGGTCATCCGGGAGGGACTCGGAGTTGAGCCGCTCCTCCTTCGCATCGAAAGGAGCCAGTTGAGGTGGTTCGGGCACCTAGTAAGGATGCCACCTGGGCGCCTCCCTAGGGAGGTGTTCCAGGCACGCCCAGCCTGGAAGAGACCGAGGGGTAGACCTAGGACCAGGTGGAGGGATTATATCTCTTCTCTGGCCTGGGAGCGCCTTGGGATCCCCCAGTCAGAGCTGGTTGATGTGGCCAGGGAAAAGAAAGTTTGGGGCTCTCTGCTGGAACTGCTACCCCCGCGACCCGACCACGGATAAGCGGGAGAAGATGGATGGATGGATGGACTTTGTTGCACCACCTCCTGTTAACCATAACCTCAGTCTTTGTTGCTCTATTTGTAAGTTATTTTGTGATTAATGAAAACCTCGGATGCCTTATTCATTGTACTCTGACTAAACCTAATAAAGCAATTTAGATTCTGTAATACTCTGTATAAGTGTGCTTTTTATTTGGTTTGATAAAAGAGCTTACTGTTTTCATAACTGCAACAAAAAATCAACTTTTGGAGTTAATCTTTTATCAGCAATGTCCCTCAACGCAAAGGCATAATGTACTGAAAGGAGTGTGGTTAGCTCATATATGCACAGGAAGTATTGCATGAGAAGGATCAGAGATGGAATGAATCAATCATGACACAAATATATCATAATGAAAATATGTGATAACAGCTGACGTATATTGAAAAATGCGTCCGTCGGTGTTTACCATAGACTGTATGTATATATATATATACCCTGAAATGATGCACAATCCAATCCAATCCAACTTTATTTATATAGCACTTTAAAACCTTCAGACCAAAGTGCTGTACAGAGAGATAAGCTCACACAACATAATATAAATACATTTAAAATACAAGATACAACACAAAACAAACCAGAATAAACGTAATAATAAAAAAAAAAATAACACTAATAACAGAAATGACATGGTTGTTTATATTTAGTGTTGGGTTATGAGTACACATAATTCATTCTAAAAATCCACTTATGAGTGTGGAGGAAAAATGTATTTGATAAAACTTTCACAAACATTTCCCAAACCAAGGTCCTAATAATTATTTACTTACATTTGTACCAAGGAACAAACTAATCTTTCTCTTGAAGTTATTTGCAGAATGTTTATGTGCTGGAAAGTTACTCAAGAGTTTCATCAGTGGTTTGCAGCATTTCCTTAAGTGGAAGTGACAAATAAGCGCCACGTAAGGTGATGACATGTCAAAGGAATTGATTGGACGCTTTACTTTTTCATCAAAGCATACGACTCAGTTCGAGATAAGGGAGATTTTGTCTGTAGGACTGCTATCACACGCAACGAGGTTCACAAATATATAAACACACCTGTCATTCTAAATGACCCAGGAATCAGTCCCTGTCATTTTTGAGAACTTGAGCAAAGTCAGGATGACATACAGAGCAGGTACAGTATGTTATTCACTTTACACATTCATTAATACATGTGTGCCTTTTAAAGATTTAACATGTTGTTTTTGATTTGCAGGTTTACGGTCTGTGGCATTCGTCTGGATGGGGGTTCTGATGCAAGGCTTGGATGCAGGACGTGCGCCAAAGAAGCACTCTGCTGTTTCATGCCGACCCAAAGAGCTGACGGCCCTCACCAAAACCCTGGTAGTAGCGAGCTTGAAATTGTTTGTAAGTAAAATAAATACTTCACTGCAGACATTTTGATTATTTATTTACTGCAGTTTTTCATGTAGTAGCCTGATACACTATTTACAGTTTGAAAGTGTTAATTGACATTTGGTGATGATGAATGGTTTTTGTGTTAATGTAATAGCAGTTAAAACAGGACCGGTCACATTTGACCGCAAACACCAAAGTAAGGGGGGAAACAAAGACAATAGGAGGATAGATGCTTAATCATTTATGGTCCATCCATCTATGTTTATAGATGTTTTACAAAACATTTGCTATGATCAATACATTATTTTACAATACCCAAATGAATGATAAAATACCATAAAAAGCAACATATGCATGATAAGCTATTCATCATTTCATACTGTGTGTCTCTGATGATGTGCAACAGTTTACAGTTGCACATCATTAACAGAGGTTGTTTTAAAAGTGCTATCGCATATTCACTATTCACAAGCTAATGCAGAGCAATGTAAGCAAATTGTAGTCACTTTCTGTTACAAACTTCCAGTGGCGTTTTTATATGTACAAAAGTGGTGGGGCACAAAAAACTTAGATGTCTATAAGCTTCTGCAGTGAGGTTCATGGCTGGTGAGGCACTGACTCTTCAGGTTTACAAATATTATATTTTGACCTAAATCAAAATATCATATTATTTTCAAAAGCTTTTTTTGTCTGATGCTTCAATTAATTTTAAACAGACAGTTCAACAAAAGGATACCCAAAAAATGTAATTGTATCATTTAAATATTGAATTGTTCTCTCTTAGTAAGATCCCATGTTCAATCAAATTGCAGTCTTACCTTGACATGAAGATTAAGTCCATTTGCCTATCCTTCTGGACAAAAATCTCTATTACTTTTTTGTAAAAGTCCTCCTTATGTTCTTGTAGTTTCAAAAGTCTATCATAAATCTGATCTAATCAATAGATTTATGATTCGAAAATTATAAAAGTAGGGTAGACATGTGGATATTATCCGGCTGAACAAAACGTGCATTTATCTAACAGGTTTGTTTCCCACAGATCTTATTTTGAGCTATTTTCTAAAATCCTATGGAGAAATATCATTGCTTTTTTGTGGAGGGAAGCCATGCGCAGTTTATTTCCGGGTTTTAGGACGCCTCACTGCAGCTCTCTCTCCTCCTCTTCACACACCACACTTTTCGCGGCACACGTACTTACAGCCAATCAGCTCTGAATTATGTGAGATGACGTATGGTGGGGATGGCAGCACTATGCCCCTATGGTCATTATTTTTTTGCCACACACATTAAATAGGACAATACTCTGAGCATGCGCAGTGTAGTTTTTACAGTCACCATTGTCTTAAACAGGGAGAGGGAGGGGCAGGATCGGGTTTTGTCCCACATGGCTCAAAACAGCTCAATAGGCACACACTGTAGACACTAATTAGAAGAACACAGACTAAAACAGCAATGTACAGACGAATCAGATGAATAAACATGATCTTAAAATATATTTTATATATTTTTTAATTTATTTTTTGCAATTTTTTGTAATCATTACTTTTAATACTTTCTGCTGACACTAGGTGGGGCTGTGCCCCACCTGCCCCTAATGACCAGTCGCCACTGCAAACTTCATATGTCAAAGAGATGCATTATTCTAGAAAAACATATCTACATGCTACCGCTAGAATTACTTATTTTCAAACACGTTTTTGGTTTGCTTTAACGATAAAAGTAGTAAAAATAAGCTATTGAAGTTGATTTGCAATTTGTTGGAATACAGTATAAATATAGTAGCTTGAATCTCAAAATTGTAATTTACAGTATACATTACTTGTACTTACCTATATACAGTCTATGGTACTTACTGACATTGTTGAATAAGCTCATCGGTGGGTGTCTGACCATTTTTGCGTTGCATATTTTACTGACTTGTAAGGGTGCATTCACACCTAATAGTCCGTTTTCTGGTGCACCACAGTTTGTTACATTGTTTCATTTTTCAGAAGGTTCGGTTTGCGTTCACACGGGCAAAACTCAAACGGACTATAAACTTTAAACACAAGTCATGTGCACGGAAATGCTGTTCAACAATTGGTGAGACATTAAGGGGGTACAAACCATGGATGTATAATAAGAACTGGATACAGCGTGGGAGGCGGGGCCTCATTCATTCCTATGAGAGTTGCTCAATAGCGCATGATGATAACATGGCCCAACTTTTGAGAGTGAAACGTCACATATTACCCGGCATGCCTGAGAAGTACCCGTATGTGCGCTCATAGCGCATGCGCAAGTTTAACCAAAATGCTCGTTCACATCAAGCACGTCAATTTGCGTACACGTAAGTTACAGAACCGCGCGTTCATGACAGCATGGTAATGATTTGTTATTATGATGGATTTGATATTAACGAGGCGGCAGCTAGCGGCTAGCTAGTAATTATGCTAATGTACACATCAATCGTTATGTACTTATATTACGCTGAAACAGGATCTAGTGATATCCAAGCAACAGAGCTTCATTTAGCATGCAATAATTATTGCACTGTATATTCACCGTGCAATACGACGCTACAGGGACGTTAATAACGTCGGTAATATTAACTTTATTTAATACAACATTTACGGTACAAGATTTAATCATACTGCCCATGTAGTATAATAATAATTACAGCAAACATGTGCAATATATCCATTATTACAGCTCCGTGGGATGGCAGTAAGACGATATGGGTCCGTTCTTATTGTGCATCCATGGGTAAAGATAAACGCAACTCACATTGGTTTCTCATACAGCATCTCTGTAAACTATGTGTATTCAGTATTCACTGAATTTCACTCTCTGCCTTTAACGGCTCGTTGTAGCTCCAATAGCTCCAGCCCCCACCCCTATACATCCATGCCCCACCCTCCCTGTGAGCACAGTGTGCTCTGATTGGTCGGGACCATGCTGAACACGTAACATGAACGTGCCGGGCGGTGCGGTCCCGTGGGTTAGATGCGCGTTCATAATGCAGAGGGAAATAACTCAGAATAACGTTATTAGCACATTTTTACAACTTGAGGAACGAATGTTTTTAATAAGGGCAAAACAAGTGTTCATACTGGGTAGTTTATTTTGTTTAAAAAAAAGTATCCAACGATTTACAGACCACTCTTTCCCCATGTAAGTCAATGGGGAAAAGTGTTTCCGGGCCTGGCAACCAAACGGAAGTGTAGTACCGCCGTTTGGCCACCATGAATATTTTCATCTGAGTCCGGCGCACTTCCTGGGGGCTTGGTACAAACGCAAATCCCGGCAATTTCTACCGGAGCCTCCGCCATGGAGCATCGGCACTTTCGGCAGGTTATTCTCATGCTGCTGTTAATATGGAGATCAACAGACTCTAGCGGCCCGCGCATATGATTATATAATCAGACAACGTCCGTTAAAAAACATTATAACACATATAATGAGAGACGTTCTGCAGTAAGGAGGGGCGTTTCACCGACGACAGGTGGCTCTGACTTTTATGTAGCTGACGGAGATGTTTTACTTTACACAACACTGTTCAACACTTCATTCTGCTTCACTCTTTAACTAAACAACCGCGGATGTCTTGAAAGACTCTTTCGCTAAAGATTTTGAAGATATCCGCGTTCTTGTGACACGTAAATACTACGCTTCCTATGTTTTGGTGCGGACTGCGTTCACACCAGCAATTAACCGCTCCAGAGTTTGCAAGCAAGCCTCCGAGACCAGCTATTTTAGCGGACCAGAGTCCGGTTGTTTAGTTCACTTAAGAGGTCTCGGATGGTGTTCACACCGACCCAAATGAACCGCACCAAGCGGCTAAACGCACCAGGGTTCGATTCAACCGGACTATACAAGGCAGGTGTGAACGCACCCTACCAGAGGTATAAAGTAGCCTAACTAAGTACAGTTCTTAAGAACATTTTGAGATACTTGTACTTCACTTGAGTATTTCCAATATGCTACTTTGTACTTATACTTCAATCAGGAGAGACGGTTTTGATGTAAGAATACATATTTATTGCAAAGATACACAAATTAATGTAATGGTGATTTTGGCGATTAGGCCCCATTGTGCAGGAAGCATCATTCGAGAGGATAGAACCGATCCGATGAAACCCCTCTGGGGTCTAGACACTCAACCCAGTCTCATGGCATTTCGTGTTCACCAACACGATTTTTAATCTATTGATTCGTGTTCACCAACACGATTTTCCCCTTTTTTTCGTGTTGCACAGCACGATTTTAAAAGCAATGTATTTCTACTGGTAATGTGTTTCGTGCCTGCAGCACGTATTTTTCTCCGGTCGGGTCGTGGAAGACCGGAAGCTGTGTGGTTCATAGAACATGTTCTTACTCAATATCAAGCCACAATTATTGCTTTTATTTTAAATCGTATAATTTCGGACTTTTGTTGCCGTCTGTGAGGGAAATAAATGGGGCTCAGAGCCTCAGAATACTGAAATCTGTATTTTTTAAATCTTTTTTTCCTTCTAATTTGTTATTCTTTTCAAAATAACACACTGTTATTTACTCACCAATAACACACAATTATCCTTGCTTTTATTTATTGGTTTAATTCCATCTCTGGCTTTTTTGGCGTCCGTCAGGAACTGAATTTCAAAATAAAAATAACCGGAAACAGACGTAGGCCTCTAGGAGTTTAGGATGGCCGAAGACACTACACTACCCATAATCCCCAGCTATCGTTTAGGACTACAGTCCCCGTGATTAATCTTCAAGCTCTGGGATTGGATGTTAGAGTGGCAGTGTGCCAAGGTTACAGCGAGCGTCAAACAGTTTGAAATGGAACGAAACCACGCCAGACTTTTCCAAAACTGGAATCGAACGCCCCCCCAGAACTACACATGCTGGCTATTGTGTTTCACAAAATGTTCTATGGGACGTCTCTACTGAACGTTTTAGTTTTTCCCACAATTAGAAGTTGCCAGTATTAAACACATTGGTGTTATCAAATGTAAAACATATAATTAATAAATGGGTGAAAATCGCTTGTGTCCATAATGCGCAGCATTAATATATACCCACATGACAGCTCATTGTTACTTTGTAATTCTACTCCACTACAATTCAGAGGTTAACCTGGTATTTTTACTCCACTACACTTATTTGAGTTACTTTGGAGATTCTGATTAATGATGTGAAATATAAACAACCCTTAAAGCAGACTTTAGTTACACCTGAGTAAAATTCAGGGAAGGTGATTGTCAAGTGCCAACAATCAGGAGAGATATTTGATAGTTGGTGCTTGAGAAGACTAAACATTTATCTGCAATTGACATGAATGGAAACGAGCAATAAAGTATATTCATTACTCGTTATTCTCTATTAATAGTTAATTAAATACTGTATATTATGGCTATTTTGCACATCCCTTTCAAGATTTTCTAAGGTTTATTGACATATCATATACACAACTACGGTGTATGCAATGAATGAAAATCTTGGGTCACAGGTTCCTCAACAGCGCATTACAAGACATCTATCAATATGTGTGTACCTCCACCATTAAACTGTCATATTCTGCACATTTCTTATTCTATCTACATACATAAGAGTATAATTCATATGTATAATATCAATTAAAAATAAGTGCTTCAACATAGTTAACATTGCAGGAAAGCAATATATTAGACGTTAAGTACTTTGTCAGGCTTAATATTTATCTGTAGATAGATACCCCCAAAGTTTTTTTCTTATTTAAAAGAAGACCTTAATCTAAAGTATTATTTAATGCTTAAATAAAGGTTAATTCGTGTTTCTGTTTTGCACCTCCTCCTATTAATATCTTTGTACATCCTGCACTAAACTGTTTTATTGTAGAGATCACTTATAGTATCTTCTTGATTTTTTATATTCTATATTTCTATCACAGACCTTCTACTTTCCCCCTATGAAAGTATGTACTCTTAATATTTTTTTAATCAAATATAACACATAAAAACAATAATTCAATAACATGCTTTAACCACTAGGCACTGTATTATTAGTGTAGGACACATATGTATGTACAACATCTGAAGATGTGTAGTTTTATTCATGCTTTCACATAATTTTACAGCATATTGCTATACTATTTCAGACTCAGTATTTACATTCTTATATTCAAAGAAAATCAGTAATATCTTTAAAAACTACAAGTCCTTTTATATCAGCTGTGTACCGTTATGGTGTAAATATAACCTATCTATGAATTAGATCAAATATAAAAGTCAGCCGAATTATTGTTGATACTGCAAGGAGACGTATTGTGTGAAGAGAAATTGAAGATGTTGTTTAATTGTTGATATATTTATGATCCACGTCAAGTATTCAGTTTCGGCGGCATTTCTTCCAGTTTTTCCAAAGGTCTTCTCATCAGGGCTCTATAAATAAAGAACTACGGCAGATCTGTAATATGTAATGCAGCCGAACCGTGTATTACAATGCCGTTATGTGATGACTTTCAAAGAGAAAAGCAAGAACACTCGGGATTAAGTATTCTTTTATTCTTTTTAAATGTTTTCCGGATTTCAAATCATATAAACACCAAATCCCAGCATGCATTGCGGCTAAAACATCCAATCAGCGAGCTTAAACCATAGCTGAGGGTCTTGGGTAATCACTCTTAATGCCTACGTCTGTTTCCGGTTATTTTTATTTTGAAATTCAGTTCCTGACGGACGCCAAAAAAGCCCGAGATTATGGAATTAAACCAATAAATAAAAGCAAGGATAATTGTGTGTTATTGGTGAGTAAATAACAGTGTGTTATTTTGAAAAGAATAACAAATTAGAAGGAAACAAATATTTAAAAAATACAGATTTCAGTATTCTGAGGCTCTGAGCGCCCCATTTATTTTCCTCACAGACGGAAATAAAAGTCCGAAATTATACGATTTAAAATAAAAGCAATAATTGTGGCTTGATATTGAGTAAGAACATGTTTTTATGAACCACACAGCTTCCGGTCTTCCACGACCCGACCGGAGAAAAAGACGTGCTGCAGGCACAAAACACATTACCAGTAGAAATACATTGCTTTTAAAATCGTGCTGTGCAACACGAAAAAAAGGGGAAAATCGTGTTGGTGAACACGAATCAATAGATTAAAAATCGTGTTGGTGAACACGAATCAATAGATTACAAATCGTGTTGGTGAACACGAATCAATAGATTAAAAATCGTGTTGGTGAACACGAATCAATAGATTAAAAATCGTGTTGGTGAACACGAATCAATAGATTAAAAATCGTATTGGTGAACACGAAATGCCATGAGACTGGGTTGAGACTATAGGTTGAGACACTGGTGGTGGTGAATAGATGGTTGGGTCGGTCTGAAGAGGAGTGGCTTAGCTTGACCCTGGATTCAGAGGGACAGGAGGTGAAAAGGGGTGGAGGAGGGTTGTGTGGAGTCACCTGAAATGACAGCTGTCAGAGGGGGGAGAGCAGACTTAAAAGGTTTGGCAGAGCGCTATGATAGGCTCTTGGGAATAGAGCAAAGTGATTGGTTAAGCTGGAGAGTGACGCCCCCGATCACTTATTGAGTTACGTAGGAATAGTGAATAGACGGTCTTCCTGATTGCATTTACGCTGAGCTTCATTTCACACAATTATTTTGTACCTTTAGTTATTATGCAGATTTAGATGAATGATGTGAAATATAAACACTTAAATAAGACTTTAGTTAGTAAATTCACAAGCTAACCTGCAGTATACAAAGTCATTCAACTAGCTGCACCTGCAGCTTTGATAACACTTTCATCATTATGATCAAAACATTGTATATTATTTTGAAATGGGCCAATCTGCATAGTGAGTAATTAATTTTGGTACTTTAATTATATTTTGATGCTAATACTTTTGTACTTTTACTTGTAACAAAGTATTCCTTCACTTTGGTACTTCTACTTTTACTTAAGTACAAGATCTGAGTACTTCTCCCACCTCCACTAATAATACATCTGCGATAACATAGGTGCCATTACACAACTCTTGACATCTATTTCTGAATAATATGAATATAAAATAACTTTTCACTTTCAAAAGCATTTTGTTTAAATTTGGAAGACAATGTACACTTACTTATATTCACTTACGTTTTCTTTTGCTTGAATTAGCATTTTGGAACTTCTTTTGGGGTGTAGTGTACAGTAGATCAATGCAGATACGTCTTGTTTTGGTGGAACATTGTGAAACAGTCACATTGTAGATAAGATTTTGTATGTGATGTTTCAATAGCATTGCTGCTGGTCTTCTGTTCCAGGATAAAGATAATGGGGAGCCCCTGGGCATCTGGGCCCCTGGATTCCCTGAGCTCCAGGTGGAGAAAGACTCTCCCCCCCAGGGGTCAAAGGTCCAGTGCAGCCTCCTCTTCATGGCTCAAGGCCTGAAGAAAGTCCTGGAGGACCAGAGGGACAACCTCAACCCGAATAGTGTTGAACTTCACAAGAAGCTCGGCAGCACCGTTTCCAACGTCAACCTGCTGGCAGCGTGTGCAAAGCATACCCTCGGAGGGGAGTGCTCCCTGAAGCCACCCCCGCCCCAAATGCCCAAGGATGCGTTTAAAAAGAAGCAGTGGAGTCACACTCTGCTGATGACGGCCAGGGCCTATCTGGACTGGCTGGAGCTTAAGTTTGGGCAACAGAGTTCAAAGGTCAAAGGGAAAAAAATGATTCAACATAAAGCTCTTCAGAAGAAGCCCACTCCTCAGAAGTACCTGGAGGGCAGCGGGTACCTCTTGTAATCTCTGTTGGTGATGCAGAAACACTTACAGTCTATGGCAGCTTTTTATAATAGTTGAAATACTTTTTAATGTTTATTTGTAATGTAAACAACTTGTTTTTTTAATGCATTTGGGACATTTGAAATGTACCACTTTTTATATTGAGTTTGAATGAATGAATACATTTAGTACAAATGTAGTATCAAAAATAATGATTAAATCACAGGTAGATAAAATAAAGTATTTTCCAAAATGTGAATTATGCTATGGAATTATGGCTTTGTTCAAATAAACTTGCTACTTCTCAGCAGCTGACATAATTCCCATGTGACTGTCATTAATCAACTTGCCAAAGAGGCAAATTAAAAGGGGCCTAATTCATTTCTTAATTACGACAGTTTGTTTTCTCAGCCTCCACAATGATTAATTGTTTTGCTCTGGCCGTCCATCCCTTGTGAGCAGGCCGGGTCACCTGAGGTAGTGAGCGAAGCTGATAGGAATCACCTTCAGAGAGCACAACCCGTTTCCAATCACTGTATTGAAATGTGTGGACAGATGGGCAGTAGAGCAGATAAGTCTGTCAAACTCCCATCAAAGCAAAGCTACAGAACAACAACAGGGTAACAGAGATTGATGTGGGCTTCGCCATCCCCAAATTAAGACATCAATTAATATAGATTAAAATGTTCCAATGTTTAGTGGCTCTGAATGAGCTTCAAAACAGTCTTGCAAGTTAACAACAAAATGTTTTAAACAAACAGCTTTTGAAATGGTTTTCCTTGTACGTATTTTCTGTTTGGCAAATTAAATGAGCACAAGTCTTGATCTCCAGCACTACATACTTTACAACGGTAATTAGTTTATGAATCACCCTATTTGATTAGATTCCTGTTTATGAAAATGTTGTGTTGAATTAATAACGGGCCATGTTCGCGCGGCCCCTTTTTCTTTGTTCACCAGTGAGGCATCCAAGAAAATGTTTTCTTCAAGAGTATAAAGGTAACATGGGGTTATTTAGTAAATTGATTGCAAATGGTCATATTATGGGTGGAGAATTACTTTAAACTCATAAATTGTCTTTGAGCCTTTGGTCGTTTCATTATAGTATATTCTTTATTTTGATAAAGTACTAACTCTAGTATTGAACTGCTAATTGGACCAGTAACAGGAACATTCAAAATGCCACCATTTATAAAAAGCAGAACTGAGAACCCATTTCATTTCACAGTCACTTTTATTAAATAGCAGTTTCATATGCATGCACTACACACACAAGTAATGACACATTCTTTGCTGTTGTTATGATTTAACAAAACATGAACCAGATCTTACTTTTAAAAAAATGAAAACTATTTCGATGACATAAACCGGTTTGAAGTGAATCCTGATGGAGGAGCTGCCTGCTACGTAGACCTGATGATCATCACGGATGAATGAATGAAGCATTCTATGCACTTATGAAGTGTAAATAATCAAATCACATACAGCATTTGTCCATTATGGGGTCGGTCTTTGAGGTTTCCATTTCTTTGTCCCAATAATGCAAAAATTGTCCAAGACGGCAGTTCATTTGCTGAGTCTCTTCTCCAAGCACCTTGGGGTGTCCAAACAGGGACGCTCTGAACTTGCTTAACTTGAGAAGGAAGTCAAATGCTCAGACAGGAAGGAGCTCTGGAGGACTCTCTCCGTAGCAGTACTTTGCTTGAGGGTTTCGATAAGTGTTCTCATGTTGAACACTCTAAATGAGAGGGAAAAAGATTAGACAGAATTCATTTCATATAATTATAAAGAAAAGTAGGGTTAAAATATAACAATTTTGATAAATCAGGAATTTCATAGATAACAACATTTATTAAGCTCGAGTAACGATAAAACCATGATTTGAGGAGTTTGTTTGATCCTCTTATCGAAAGAGATCGACAATAAAAATAAGAAAACGTTTACATTTCGATTTGGTAAGCAATTTATGTCAGGAAGAGCAAATGTCAAGAGGGTTGAATGGATATACATGTGTGTTTTCTATCTCTTAAGAATCTATGTATGATATCAATCCAAAATAATAATATTTATAAAGAGGAAAATAAAAATGTATTTAAAATGTTGGTAAACCTCATTCAATGAATCATAGTTAAACATGTAGGAAAGTGTAGCGCATATCTTTGTTCTAGCTTTTACTGTCCCAAGTAAACCAATATACAGTATTTGTTAAATGTTGACTTTACTTATTGTGAAATGATGACTTATCAATGCATCTGCAAAGGTTGTGTGTCTGTGAGAAATGTTCACAAATTATGCTTAGTGTAAACACAACTCAAATGGAAGATTTCAGACAAATGTCTGTGTTTCTATAAATATAGGATTGTGCTCTGTCAGACTGCGACATTTTCATTGCTGTTGGTCTCATAACATACTTGTGAAGAGGTCCTGCACTTGGCCAGGCAAAGCTCGAAATGATCCTCCACGCCGGTGAAGAGATTCTGGAAACCTTCAGCTGCACGATTCAGGAAGCGCTCAAGGAGAGGTTGCTGAAGACGAGCACACAGATAAGAGGGTGAGAATGAGTCAAATCAGTTTAACCTGTTTCTGTCTTTGTTAAATATTGAGGGCTAAAGTATCTAAAAATGTGCACTTTATGATCATGCAGAAGTTTTGCAAGATGCAGCATTGGGACTATGTCATAACCCAGGCCCCTGAGCATCCTTGATGGGACAGGTTACCTTATCAGGCTGGAGGCAGCAAGACACGCAATACTCATAGACGCTACAGCAGCCGTTGGCCAGGCAGCTCTTACAGATGTACTGCCTGGAGCTGGGCGCATTGACGTTACAGCAGCCGTTCACTAGCAAGTCTATTCTCTCACAGACGTATCCTGTAAAACATATAAGACAAGCATAGATATTGATGAGAGAAAACGAAACGGTCTCGCTGAGCCGCGATGTTATCAGGTTTAGTGGTAGCTGCTGCATTACTCACCAAGTTCGTCTGTGAGCAGCGCCTTGCCCTGGATGGAGTTCCTGCACTGAGTGATCTGCCGGCTACTGTTGCCCAGGTTAAAACGGACTTTCCATGGGATGCGATGGTCTGGATCTCTGACCTCTAAGAGCGTGCGGTCCCGAATGGTCCGCTCCTCCTGCAAAATACACACAGGGTCATGAAATGCCATTAAACACCAACTTAATACAGTTTGGAATAAGGGTCAGACAATATGATAAGATTTGAAGTGAGAAAATGCAAGAGGACTAGAAATTCACATTTTTGGAAATAATGCTGCTGACATTAAAACTGTTGATTTTGACATTAGTTGGAATACTTCAAATGTCTCTAAATTCATTTATTCATTGAAAAGAAGAAGATCCCACATACAGTGGGGCAAAAAAGTATTTAGTCAGCCACCAATTGTGCAAGTTCTCCCACTTAAAAAGATGAGTCCTGTAATGTTCATCCTAGGTATACCTCAACTATGAGAGACAAAATGAGAAGAAAAAAAAATCCAGAAAATCACATTGTCTGATTTTTAAAGAATTTATTTGCAAATTATGGTGGAAAATAAGTATTTGGTCAATAACAAAAGTTCATCTCAATACTTTGTTATATACCCTTTGTTGGCAATGACAGAGGTCAAACGTTTTCTGTAAGTCTTCACAAGGTGTTCACACACTGTTGCTGGTATTTTGGCCCATTCCTCCATGCAGATCTCCTCTAGAGCAGTGATGTTTTGGGGCTGTCGCTGGGCAACACAGACTTTCAACTCCCTCCAAAGATTTTCTATGGGGTTGAGATCTAGAGACTGGCTAGGCCACTCCTGGACCTTGAAATGCTTCTTACGAAGCCACTCCTTCGTTGCCCGGGCGGTGTGTTTGGGATCATTGTCATGCTGAAAGACCCAGCCACGTTTCATCTTCAATGCCCTTGCTGATGGAAGGAGGTTGTCACTCAAAATCTCACGATACATGGCCCCATTCATTCTTTCCTTTACACGGATCAGTCGTCCTGGTCCCTTTGCAGAAAAACATCCCCAAAGCATGATGTTTCCACCCCCATGTTTCACAGTAGGTATGGTGTTCTTTGGATGCAACTCAGCATTCTTTCTCCTCCAAACACGTCTAGTTGAGTTTTTACCAAAAAGTTCTATTTTGGTTTCATCTGACCATATGACATTCTCCCAATCCTCTTCTGGATCATCTAAATGCTCTCTAGCAAACTTCAGACGGGCCTGGCTTAAGCAGGGGGACACGTCTGGCACTGCAGGATTTGAGTCCCTGGCGGCGTAGTGTGTTACTGATGGTAGCCTTTGTTACTTTGGTCCCAGCTCTCTGCAGGTCATTGACTAGGTCCCCCCGTGTGGTTCTGGGATTTTTGCTCACCGTTCTTGTGATCATTTTGACCCCACGGGGTGAGATCTTGCGTGGAGCCCCAGATCGAGGGAGATTATCAGTGGTCTTGTATGTCTTTCATTTTCTAATAATTGCTCCCACAGTTGATTTCTTCACACCAAGCTGCTTACCTATTGCAGATTCAGTCTTCCCAGCCTGGTGCAGGTCTACAATTTTGTTTCTGGTGTCCTTTGACAGCTCTTTGGTCTTGGCCATAGTGGAGTTTGGAGTGTGACTGTTTGAGGTTGTGGACAGGTGTCTTTTATACTGATAACGAGTTCAAACAGGTGCCATTCATACAGTTAACAAGTGGAGGACAGAGGAGGCTCTTAAAGAAGAAGTTACAGGTCTGTGAGAGCCAGAAATCTTGTTTGTTTGTACTGTAGGTGACCAAATACTTATTTTACCGAGGAATTTACCAATTAATTCATTAAAAATCCTACAATGTGATTTCCTGGATTATTTCCCCCCATTCTGTCTCTCATAGTTGAAGTGTACCTAGGATGAAAATTACAGGCCTCTCTCGTCTTTCTAAGTGGGAGAACTTGCACAATTGGTGGCTGACTAAATACTTTTTTTCCCCACTGTATTAGACAGTGTCTTAAGCAGCAGACTTTTGCCTCAATAAGTTGACTTAAAGTCGGAAATGTAAGACTTATATCAGATAGAGCTGAGTCAATAGAGAATCAAAACCGAGATAATATAATCTCTTAATCTTCAGCAAACATGCAGAACATTCACTAGTTACAACTTGTCAACTTGTGGCTGTTTAAAAAAATAAAACTGTGATAGTAAACTGAATATCTTTGGGTTTTATATTATTGATCAGACAAAACGATTTACTTAAATATGTTTTAGGGGCTGTATAAAATGTAATGTCAACAGTTCATGAGGTAAAGCAGATTGTCCTCTCCTATCCAGTGTCCTTGTGTCACTCAATATTAAGT